TATCTATCTATCTATCTATCTATCTATCTATCTATCTATCTATCTATTATCTCCAAAATTTTTAAGGGTACCTGGCATAGGATGATAACTTGGGAGAGTGAGGCAGAAGACTGAGTTCTAGTCCTATCATTTACTAGGAATTTGACTTAGTACAAGGATGTGATCAGATTCCCTAAAATTATGAAAAAACATAATACTAATTTATGAATATCTGGAAAATAACTAATATTGAGATAATATAGGTGAGAAGGCCTGTGAGCTGCACAATTTTATGCAGAGATGGTTGCTATTCCTCTACTTATCATTCGTCCTTGACAGTATCCTTCTGTAAAACTAGGGTGGCCCAGTTAAGATATTCCCACCACAGTCATAAGCAAATGATTGTAGAAGTGATTGATTCTGAGTGTTCAAGTAAAAGGCAGGAAGGTGACAGATGCCACTTTACTCTAAGGCTGTCACTAACTTTAATCACAATTGACAACCCTCAGTCCCAAGGCTCTTAATCTTTCTCTCTGCTCTTCTGGTCTTCTCTAAGAAAAAGGAACTAGTTCTCTTCAGGTTTAAAGAGCACTTATGTGGTAATTAATATTATCTCTTTTTGTTACTTAGTATAAGAACTAAGAACAATTTGTGGTTCTTAGCAATACTGCCTTTAAATAGTTATGCATGGTATCTACTCCATAGATTTTTCAAATCATCAAACAAGCAACTGATAAAGATACTGCACTGTTTTTTTTTTTTGTTGTTGTTGTTTTTTAATTGGGGGAAAACAGATTTGTGAAGGAAAAAGAGGAGAGCTCAATTATTGCAAAACAGTCTAACTCCTTGACAACATTCAATCGCCCACTTTAGAAACTATATAAATGCCTAGATGATGCGACGTGTCAAAAACTGCGGTAGCTGGTGGCACATGCAAACATGTGCTTGCTTAGGTGGAAATGGTCGAGACAGGTTATTTATAGACTGCGCTGTATGCATGTCGTTTACATGTTGTGAAACAAAATATGAGCCTCCTGGAATGTGTCATCTCACAGTGTTCCAAGTCATATTCTAAGAGCACAGACAGGGACACTAGCTCTAGACACAACCTGCTTGCCTATTTAAGAGGAAGAGTTGTGAAGGAGTCACTTGATCTCAGCATCTCTTGGTTTCCTCTTTCATAAGCCAGAAATTAAAACACCACTTTTGTTTCCTCCTTTTCAGGTCTACTGTGAAAATGAGATCTTGCTGTGAAACCGCTTTTACCAAGAGAAGATTCTCTATACATATATAAGGATGTATTTCTTTGGAAAGCTGAGCAGATCTTTTCATTGCCTGGACGGTTACATTGATTCCTCGATTAGCCATTCAATTACAGCTCTATTCGAGACAGCCAGTTTTAGGTATATTGACTTAAGGTCAGATCAATGTGATGGACGAGTGCGTGACCCCTACCGCTGTGGTCTCAGGAAGTCCTGATAAGCTGACCACCGGGTTTTCATATACAGGTAAGGGAGAGTAAAGTTGGCAGAACAAGGGGGGTTTAAAGCTATTGTTATATATGAAAAAAATGTTCTAAAGTAATTTGGTTCTTTCTTAGTCATGGAGATAAATATATAGCACTGGATATCTCCTGGACGTCTCATCATTTTGGGGGAAAAAAAAGAGAGCACTCTTGACAAAGCATTATTTAAATTAAAGTTATTTTTATGCTAAGTCGCTCTACTCCCACATTCTTTGAGTCACTGTGAACTAAAGAATCTTCCTTTTCTGTGTCTCATCTGCTTTCCTTAACTACCTCCTTGGACCAGACTAGAATGAGTGGCTTCTTGATCACCTCTCTTCTTACAGTCTGCCCTAGTAAGTTAAAACTACTTGACAGCTACACCTACTGTTTTGCACTCTACCTGCAGTATCATGACCTTATTTTTGTCTTCTCCACCCAACAGATCACCACCTTGGCAAGCTGGTATCACCACTGCTCACAGCTCCTTGAAGTTCACCATTCAGGTGAAATCTCCTCCGAGTCCTCTACCCTCTTATTGAATGGATAAATTTATCTCAACTTACTCATCTTTTTTCCTACCTCTTCAAAGATAAATTGTACTGTTTCCAATGAAATCGCTGTTACCATATGCTTGTGACCTGCAAACCTCAGATTTAGTTGCTTCACTGGTGTTCTGCCTCTTCCAAGCTTTCTGTGCAACATACAGAATATTGTATCAGACTATACTGGAATTTCTTTACATTTTAGGTAGATTCTCATTGAATACAGGATAGGAATAGTTAGAGGAAAACTGGACATGATATCACAATAACTGAACTTAATACCTTCTTATTAGTGTTTCTAAGTTCCTTTTTATCAAGTCAGAGATTTTTTATAAAAGAAAAAATTTCATCAACTCTATCATACCAATTAATACAGTTTATATGAAACAAGGTAATTCTTCCTCTTAGCCAATAGGACTTCTTAAAGTTTATTTTCTGGAG